ACACACACACACACACACACACACACACAATCATCATAATCATATTAATGATTAACCACGGTATTCCGTTTAATCTGGTAAATGTCTTAGGATTTACCGTATATGTAATACAATTTTTAAAAGGCATCAAAGTTATATATAGACTCTCTTAAAAAAACATGGATGGCCTACAAATGGCATATGTTGCAATATTGGAGAAAGGTTATGAAAATAATGCAAATATAACAAGAACAGTTCAAATAATAGAAAGCAGAAAGAAAGCATACACGTTTGAATCACGTTGGCGTCCATCTATCAGTGTCTTGAAATGGCAATATCATTAAAGACTGAAAAGGCACTTAGTGTAGATATGTATGGAAAATGATACCCCTGTGATCTTCTGTTTCTGAATATGAACTCTGTAAAAACCAGACCCAATATTTGGTGAAAGAAGTTAAGGATCTGACTGCAAGGGGGCACCTCTGCTGCCTTCTGGAATATCCCAGAGAATCCTGTAGCCAGCCCCCTTTCATAGTGGTGTGGATCTCAACTTTGGCAACGTGTGCACGGTGACTTTTTCCCCACAATCCCTTACTCTGTGACAGCATCAACCAGAGTGAGAGTTTTGGAATGCTGCCATCTGTTTCTATGGTCAGAAGTCAAGCTTACCAGATGTAGCAAAGCGAGTAGTGTGCATGTTAGTGGTTTTAGACTGCAACTCTCAGAATTCCTCAGGGAATTGTGTTCTGTGGGGTATTCTGGGATTTTCATCCAAAAATACAAAGATTCACACTTCTACTAATCCATGGGGAGGCAGGTGATAGCAAAGAGATAGTACTAGCTGTTTTTCTGCCTTAGTCATTGGGACCTCTAGTGCTTCTGCTGATAAATTTCCATTCAACAAACAAAAAAGGAGAATCCTCCCAAAACTATATTAATGTCTATCTTTTCATTACTATTAGGATTCCAAAACAAAATATTTATAAACTGACTTGTTTAAACAGCACTAATCATTATTTGGGATGTTGTAAAATAGGCTTCATCTAGTACAAAGAGGAAGATTCAGCTTGGCTTCAGGCCTCCTCATGGGACAGAGACTGATTTGGTTGTCTTGGTGGATGACCCACATGGGGAACTGGACAGGGGCAGATGTCCATGTTGGTTCTGATGAACTCTCAGCAGCTTTCAACAGCATCAACCATGGTATCCTGCGTGCTACATCTTCAGTGGGACAGCCATGTTAGCATATTACAGCATAAACACATGAAGACTAACAAGTTTTATTTGTTTTAAGCCTTCATTAATTGTAGCACATGATATCGAATGATCTTGATGAAATGTATGTGGTGTTGTCCACAAAAGTTCATGCCAATGTTTCCATCCCTCTTTAATGATATAACATTTCTGGAAAGGATGACACCGTTGGTGGGGGAGCAGGAAAAAATTTCTTTGAATTTGGGACAAATTAAAATCTTCATATCATCCTAAATTCAAATTCTTCAGAATGTTTCATCAGGTGAGATGTTAAGTAAAAACCAAAAAGGATGAGTGGTGTTGGAAAATAAGCACACAGAAGTACAGGAGCAACGTTAGCTGGTAGATTCAGCCCTTTGAAATTCAAAATCACTACCTGGACACAGGTAAAGGAATTGCACCCACATTGTTTTACAAGAAAATAAGAAATATTGTGCTTATTAGAGAAATACATTTGTTTTAGGAAAACTGATGGAAGTCCTAGTTCTAGTCGATTCAGCTGAAAGTGTCAGGAGCCACTGGTACCTTTTTCATCTCTACAGAACAAAAGCGAGATGTCTCCACCTTGGAAAGGTGTGAAAAAGAAGGAAGGGACATCAGCATTCTTTGGAATAGCAATCTAAAAGAGAAAGAAGGTCAGCACAATTCAGAGCGGGTGAAGGACAATCTAGTCCTCTCCCTCTCAACTCTTCCCCATGCAAAGACATGCATCTCCTTGAGTGTAAGCTGAGTTACTCCTGATTACTTCCAACAGGAGGAAGTAGCAATGTGGCTGATATTCCACCCATGAAGTCTGCATTTAAGTTAAAAATGGCATGGGAGGAAATGCTGCAGAACCGTATTTTGTTGGGCACTGAGGTGGTACCAGGTTGCACCTGTGACTCAAGGCTTTCTTTTATTATAAGGACTGCATTTGTATTTGAAGTGACCTGTGTGGGGCTGACAGGGAGCCAGACTGGGCGTGGGTATTGCCAACAAGGGTGTCCGTCTTGACATCATCGATCACTTCCTCCTTAGATTATTCATCTACTTCTACAAGGAAATAGTTTATTGTTCTTTGCTCTTTGTCCTGCAATGGAAGGGCTGCTAAAAGAGTGTCTCTAGATTGGCCTTCAGCATACTGACATATCCAGAAGGGGCTGTTGTACTCATATCTAGATTTTATTCTGTTCTATCCTGAATTGATTTATTAGAACAGTAATCATCAGCATTTTTGTTTTATCTTATGTGAACATCCTGACAGATTACTCCTAATTCACAGCCACAAAGTCATCTTTGCTGCATTCTGCTAATGTCATTACCACATCGTCGAATAAAGAAGCAATGGTTAATTCCCCATCTTTAAACAGATAAAATCCATCTGATTCTTGAAGTCATCACCAGGTGGAACACAGAGGTGTTTTGGCAGGTGGAAAACAGAAGTGTTTCTTCTGAGCTCTGACAGTGTATGGCTTAACAAGGGCAGGAATCTATGTGGAGAAAACATTACAGTACTTTATTCATTTATTTATTCATTTATTTATTTATTCATTCATTCATTCATTCATTCATTTATTTATTTATTTATTTATTGCTTGCATTGTTGTTTAGTCGTGTCCGACTCTTCGTGGACCAGAGCACACGATTAAGAGCATGCATTGCTTAACATCTAGAATTTTCTACAGGCTACCCATAGTTGGTCTGCTCCTGCTCACTTTCAATGATGACCCCCTGTAACACAGTGACCCCTGAGCCAATTGTTTGTCTCCTTTTCTCAGCTCATTTGAATACCTGACATGTGTTGGGAAGAAAAAATTGTTGTGTTTCAAGGGGTCATTCCATGTGCTGAACCCCATTGGACCACGGCACTACTCTGCCAATGGGCTGGCTGTATTCCTGTAGCTTATTCTGAGTGAGGGTCACTTAGATCTTCAGCATGGTTTTTTCAGCATTGGTGTACAAATAAGTTGTCAGTTATACTCAAAGTAGAAATGGGCTGTCACCAGAATTTCTTTGCAAACTGTTCATTTTTTAAAAAAGGTTTGCATTTCTCTTTTAGGGACAAGGTCCACAAACAACAGCACAGGCAAGAATTGAGAAGCGGGGGTAGGGGACACACCACCTATTGCTTGCAACAGAGTTCTACTGTATAATTTAGAGATTTCCATAATTGGTTTGCATTAAGAGCAATTAAACCTTAAGAGCTTTTATATTGCAATGAGGGTAAAATAAAGCTTTTAGAATTATTGATAGGGTTTTGTTGTTGTTGTTGTTGTTGTTGTTTAGTCGTGTCCGACTCTTCGTGGACCAGAGCACACGAGGCCCTCCTGTCATCCACTGCCTCCCGGAGTTGGGTCAAATTCATGTTGGTCGCTTCACTGACACTGTCCAACCATCTCGTCCTCTGTCGTCCCCTTCTCCTCTTCCCTTCACACTTTCCCAACATCAAGGTCTTTTCCAAGGAGTCTTCTCATGAGATGGCCAAAGTATTGGAGCCTCAGCTTCAGGATCTGTCCTTCCAGTGAGGCTTGATTTCCTTCAGAATGGATAGGTTTGTTCTCCTTGCAGTCCAGGGGACTCTCAAGAGCCTCCTCCAGCACCACAATTCAAAGGCATCAATTAGGGTTTTAGGGATGATGAAAGACTGAGCCCTTTCTCCCCAGCCTACAGGCTCTTCTCCATTGATAAGGTCAAATGCATAATGCCACAAAAATGCCAGTCCTCTGCCGCTCGGGCCCCAAAGAGAGCAGAAAATGCACTAGATCATGGTGTCAAATCTGGGACAACAGAGCGGCAATTGTTTCAACTGTAAAGGGGTTGACTGTAAAGCTGCTCCCCAGAACACTGCATGGTATTCCCACATGCGGCACTTTATAGAGAAAGGAAGTAACAGTCAAGACGCTGCACTTGGAGTGTCTTTGCCACATAACTCTTCTGTTTAATCTTTGCTGCCTCTTAAAGCCATGACAGCTAGAGCTCTGGTCTGAACTGGTAGGAATGTGATTGTCAAGAATGAGCTGTTGTTGCTGCCACTGCCTCTGCACAAGCCGTGCTGGAATTAACGGAGGTTGCAAATCCACAGCAGTGTCTGACGAACGGCTCTTGGAGGAGGCCCAGATACCTTGCTGGGTACCTGCCAAGCATGTAAACTAATCAAGTGGATTTCTACTGAAGCAGTTGTTGTGTGAGATCCGTGTTTGTAATAAATGCTGTTTGTGATGTCTGAGAGGCAGCAGTTGTTGCAGCAGCTCCATATGAGTAGTTGTTGTTGATGATGCCGCTGGAGTTGTTATTGTAAATATAAGCTCAAAGTGATATACATGCCAGCCCTCTTGCAACAATCCTGTGAGATCGCTCCAATGGAAAAGCAATTGCTAGCCCAAGGTCAACCATTGATTTTTATTGGCGGAGTGGAGGTAAGCTAGAACCTGTGTCTTTCAGTTGCCAGCACAAGCCTTCAACCCCTCTGCCTTTAAAATACTGTATGCTAACAATCACCTAAAGTATTCTGATTGTAGCCCCTAAAGGGTATCCCATCTGGCACTGTCCATTCCGAATCACATCAGCCCTCCAGGGGCTCAGGAGAGACCTTTCCCATCGCCTCCTTCCCTTCAATATTGAGCCTTCTGTTGGTTTCACAGTCATGGAAAAGAAATATCCATTCATACAACTGGGAAGGGAGGGCACCTACAGCCGAGTAGAGGAGAGACAAGAGTAAGTATCACAAGAGCTTTCAGGTTCTTCCTTGCGTTAGAGTTATGATCACAGAGAGGTCGAGAATCCTACTTTTCATCCCTTGTGTCTAGTTCTGCTCTTTAACAGTGCTGTAAAAAAAAAAAGTGGAAATACAGTAGTCATGATTTGGTCCATTTTGCAGGTTTTCTATGCAAATAGTGTACATTGTTAAAAATTTAGGGCCACTGGCATTCATGGGTGGGGGCAAGGGAAATGCCTTATTCTGGAAGCCTAAATGCATTCAATATAAGTAGACAGATGCACAGTGTGGCGGCTTGCCATAGAAGCGAGAACTATGCAAAATCAATTTTTTTCCCATCTTCCAGGGAAATTCCTGGGGACCTATTTGTGTTAAGTGCTCTTAGGTCAGGACTGACAGATAGTGACCCTGATAGGACTTTCAAGGTAAGTGAAGTAAGTATTCAAGGAGTGATTTTGCCAGTGTCACCTCCCTGTGAACTTCCATGGCTGAGCAGGAATTTGAACCCAGACCTCCTGACTCCTAGTTTCTCACTCTATCCACTATACCGTGCTAGCTCTTCAGAGAGTCTATGGCAGGAAAAAACATAAAACTATAAATTGGGGGTGTGTCCCTTCCATGGCATGGAGGACCAGCTCTGACTCCTGAGTGAAGGTTAAAGAATCTGAAACATGTGATTTGGGCCTTAAGCTGCATAAAATTAAATGCGTTGACTTGTGCGGTTCGCAGATCTAGCTGGCTATGAGTCAGTGAATGTTAATCTGCTTGATATTAAAAGTCTGCTGGTTCATGACATAAGAGTGAGTACTGGATCTATTCGAGATTGTTGCTTAACTCTCCTGTTGTTGCCTTCCGCCCACAAGCTGAGTACATAATGCATACCCAGGAGCTGCAGTGCAAATACCTCACGTAAAAGCCACCTGAGGGTATGTATCTTTTGCAGCTCTGGCGTGTGGAGACAGAGCGCACCAAAATATTTAGGCGTTGGCTCACTGTAGTCATGATGAAGAAATGTTTTCGAGTAGGAAGGAAATCTGTGTCTGGCAACTGAGGAAGGGAAAGGATAGGCTCTCATTCCAATGGACGGTTTCAAGGCTCTGGAACCCCAACCCTGACTCCCAGACCATCCTCCAACATCAGGCGAGACAAAAATGGATCTTCATGTTGCGAGGGTTCAATTCTAGGCTCCTTTCTCACCTCAAAGGAATCAAGAGATCTTTGCGGTTTCGAAACAGGTGAAATATTTCTTGGTGTGTTTAACAAATAACCAGTGTCCATGACATGATTCCATCGTCTTTCTCCTTCCGACAACGGGTCTTGAAGGGGTTTCCAATCTCCATCCAGAAACGGATTTCTCTCACCAGAGTTCCAGGGACCCAGCCAGTCTGTAAAGATGTTGGTGGTTATAGTCTGTCTCCCTTCACCTTCCAACAAGGGCATGGTCTCATCATCCCGGCCGTCACTCCACACGGGACATCCTTCTGACGTGGAAGCCTTCCAAGGTCCTCCCTGAACCCCTTCCTCCTCATCCCGTTTACCCTCCATTCAAGTCTCTATCTCCTTTCTCTCTCTTTTGTTGTTCAGTCATTAAGTTGTGTCTGACTTTTTGTGACCCCATGGACCAAAGGACGCCAGGCCCTCCTGTCTTCCACTGCCTCCCGGAGTTGGGTCAAGCTCCAATCGCCATCCAGGAACGGATTTATCTCACCAGAGTTCCAGGGACCCAGCCAGTCCGTAAAGATGTTGGTGGTTATAGTCTGTCTCGCTTCACCTTCTAACAAGGGCACGGTCTCATCATCCCGGACGTCACTCCACATGGACATCCTTCTGACGTGGAAGCCTTCCAAGGTCCTCCCTGAACCCCTTCCTCCTCATCCCGTTTATCCTCCATTCAAGTCTCTATCTCCTTTCTCTCTCTTTTGTTGTTCAGTCATTAAGTTGTGTCTGACTTTTTGTGACCCCATGGACCAAAGGCTCTTTCTACTCTTTCCTTTTCTTCTCTAAGCTTCCTTCTCCACTCTTTAGCCTCTCCCTCTTCCCAATAAGACGATCTGGGGGGGGGAGAATCTCCCTTCTTTTCCTATAATCCGCCTTTTCCTTGGGCACTCTTAGCCTTTCCCAAGCTCCAGTCCATGGGTCTTCCATCCAAACCCACTCCCAACCTGGCAGTAGCTGTTCTTCCCTCCTTTTTATATCTGCTATTCCCGTCTCTATCTCCACCCTCTTCTTCCGCTCTATTCCCGCTGTTTCTCCCTGAGCCCTTTCAACAGTCAGTTTTTGTATCTCTCCTTCTAATTCCGTTTTCTCTGGAGTGTTGTGACAGGCTGGGTCTGTCCTTCCTTCTCTTCCGTATGGAGGAGGGGTGGCTCTCCATCGAGTGGGATACCCGTCTCGCCTCCTGTCTCACATATGTATCTCCTGTACTTTCAGGGGGTCTACTCTAAACAGAACTACAGTGGTGCCCCACTAGACGATTACCCCGCAAAATGGGTAATCTGCAGGATGATGACTTTTTGCGATCGCTATAGCGATTCGCAAAACAGGCATTTCAGTGGGAGAATTCTGCATTATAATTTGGTCCGTGCTTCACAGACTGTTTTTCGCAAGACGACGATTTTTACAGCTGACTGGCGCTTCCGTTTTATGCAAGACAGCAATTTTATAGCTGATCGGCGCTTCGCAAAATCGATTCGCGCTTCTGTTTTACGCAAGACAGCGATTTTATAGCTGATCGGCGCTTCGCAAAATGGCTTCCCTATGGGCGATTTTTCCCCATTGGAACACATTAAACGAATTTCAATGCATTCCAACGGGGAAACGCTTTTTGCAAGACAATGTTTTCGCAAAACAGTGATTTCAATGGAACGAATTAACATCGTCTTGTGGGGCACCACTGTATATCTGTTTGTGGCAAAACATACTAGCTAAACTGCTTGGCTTCTCTCTCCTCGTTATAAAAGATCACCATCATGAAAAACCTGTAGCAAATTTTCTTAAGGGTTCCATCTAGAAACAGGACAAACAAGCAAACCAATTTTTGGAAGCACAAATGAATCAGCAAATTATGCTGAAGCACCAGTGAACCAGATGTACAGGTAGATGTGGGTGTGGATGTTTAGGACAGGGCTAGCCACAGAGTAGTTTTGATTATTTCTCTGTTACATTCGGTCCCCCCTGATATTTTATAAATTAAAGGCAGGTTTTTGTTTAAACTATTGATCTGGCATTGAAAATATGCTATGATGCTTTGACTCTCAACTGAACAGAAATGTCACTTCTGAGAAGACAAGCAGGGCATCTATGCAAACAGGTTGTTACTTGTCAGAAAAACGATCTTCTTGTAGAGGGATTCAGAAGCAGGAGGGAAGAACTCATCTGGGGAATGAAGAATGGTAGGGCTGTGCGGACACTGGAACTAGCCTGTGGATATTTTTCTGGCAATAGTTGCATCAGGACTGGGAGAGAGATTTCTAGGTTCCATTCATGGCTTTCCCGTACTCTGTTAAAAACATCTATGTTATGAGGGATAGAAAAATCTAAACATGGTAAAAGAAATGACTTTCAGGAGAGCAGATGAGATGAAGTGTTTCTTCTGAAACAATGGCTTTCCAGAACTATTCTAAACAGTTCACACAGCCCCGCATCTTTTGTGAGACCTGTGTATTAATAATTAATGGTTGCTTTGTTGCCGCTTTGGCTATTCCGGATAAACTGGTGAATCACTTGAAGTCAGTGAAGCCAGCACAACGATTCCTATTGTTTGCCCAGATCCCATAAAACCCCTTATGCCAAACTGATTAGATTTACTGTTCACTTGCTAAGCTTGTCTGTTCATGGCAGCTTAATGCAATCAAATGTTTTCAAAGAGCCGATCTGGGATGCCACAGAGAAACGGGGCTCCCACATATTCCTATCTCGCCTTCTTCCTTCTCATTCAAGAGAGGCTAACACAGAAACCCATAAAGTCCCATCTGGCATTTCTCTTTATTTGACCAAAAAAAGGGGTTTTGCGGTGTAAGAAAGAAAGTTCTGAGCACAAAATAGAGAATGAGCTTTGCTTGGCAGGGGGTGATGGTGGAGATAAGCACATCACAAGGGAGGAAGAAGAAAAGAAAAGAGCAGCTTTGTCATGGAGTGGTTAAAACAGCAACAGCCATGTTGTTGTTTAGTCCTTAAGTCGTGTCCGACTCTTCGTGACCCCGTGGACCAGAGCACGCCAGGCCCTCCTGTCTTCCACTGCCTCCCGGAGTCTGGTCAAATTCATGTTGGCAGCTTCAGTGACACTGTCCAACAGCCATATACGTACAGTAGACCTTAATTCTGCAAAGATTTTGGGAAATGAATGGAAATCAGCCTCTATAAACAATCCTTTCAATTAGAATAAACCTTTACGCTTATCAAATTTAGCCCTTTTTAGCAAACAAATTCAAGCTTAAAAGAAAGATCTTTCATCCCTAATGTTTTAATTAGAAATAAGTAGCTACGGAATGTCATACAACCATTCCTTTACTTTTATTTAATAACTTATAAACATATTTGTAAGTCACCTTTTGGCCTGTAAAAGAATGTAAGGGGGAAAATGTAAGACAGCAAACCTTGTTTTCTGAAAATGGCCTATAAAGGCCATGGTTGTTCATATATAGAGAGAGGATGTCACTAAATGCAGGCAGTATTTATAGTAGTGTATAAGGGAATAGATAGCCTTATTTATATCTGACAGTGGGAATTTGTACCTTTTTCTCATTTTTGATTTGCATTTTTGATTTACAGAAAGCATGGGGAGTGTTCCCACTTTGCATGGGGTGTGTTGTGGCTACTTAATATTATATGAAGTGTGTCCCTAAACATGTTCAGTATTAATGAGATAAATGTGTACTTGGGACACATGGATATCCTAGAGAACCCTTCAAAGATCCTGGACTGTTGGTTGCCATTCCCCAATAAACATACGGGCCAAATTGCCTGTTGCCGATACAACCTGTAAGTCAAGGGCGTGTTCCAGATAACATAATTTCATGCCTGAGAGCTGCCAATGAAGTTCATGTTTACCCCCCACCCCCAAGGCCAATCACAAAAGGAAGCCAACTAATCTGCTAGAAACGTGTAGGG